AATAAAATTTTTGAAATCTAAAAAAAAGAAAAAAAATTAAAAGTCCGGAAAACAAATTAAAGAAAAGATATAATCACTTCATCAGCCCACACGATTATATCAGATAGATAAAAGGAGTGCTTTCTAATATTGTATTAATATAGCAAAGCAAAATATATCAATACAATAGTGTGAGGAGCACTCAAAAAAATTGAGACGAAATTAGAACACATTAAGTGAAAAAAAAATATACGAAAAAACAAACAAATATATCAAGCATAAAACAGAAAATAAAATGTATAGAGATTAGAGAACAGTACACTAAAGGAAATCTACATAGCGAGGAGCGAATAAAATGAACTTACGCGTACCGGAATCTTTCAAGAATGATTTAAAATATTTTCGTAATAAGATTGCCAGATCACAAAATATGAAAACAGAAGCACAAATAAAGTGATATCTTATCGCACGTTCTTACTGCAATACTGAAGCGCGTCTAATTTGTTAGTTACCTTGGGTGGGCCCGAAAATGGATGCGCGCAAGGTAATAATATTATACAGGATAATTTAAAGTTTGCAATTAATGAGTTTGATAATTAAAATAATTATTTAAAAAAAATACAGGATTTACTTGTTTTGAACTAATTTTTGGCTCCTANATATGTATATTGTATATATATTATACGTATTGTACTATAAAATACTTTAAATAATGTTAGAGTCTCTAAATTGGCTAAGAGTTCCATGGAGGTGCAACTCAGATAGAGTAACCTAGCTGCTATATTTTCTCATCTTTTTTCGTTCCAAAGATCATAGTCCCCTATGTCACATGCTCCTTCTCTTTAAGCGATTTTGGCGGAGAAAGAGGGGAGGCGTGTGACAGTTAAGATGAATCTTTCTTATATTAGATTCTTGTTTTGCTTTTATTGGTAATGGAGGAAAGTTAAAAGCTTCAGGAGTATTAAGATTAGCAGAGCTGTTAAATATTGAATCATTTTTGGGCAACACTTTGCTAGCTTAAAAATTGTTTTAGAATTCCATTCCTTAATTCCATTCCATTCATAAATTATATAAAATGTTTCCATTTTCTGAATGTTTTTAAAAGCGATAAAAATGGATCTTTTTATAAAAAATAAGAACTTGATTCAGTAGTTTAGATTTAGTTTATTTTTTTCCACTTACTATCACAGTTAAAAAAGAACTGATGATTTCACTCTAAAAAGTTTTGACGATTTCTTCAAAGAACTTATAATTGTTAAAAAAAATGAAACTTTGTCCCATTTATCGAATAGTTTAGTAAAACTCTTTCATAGCTCCTCTTCTCTCGGAAAGATTGTATTTTATTAACTGAATTTATTCAAAGCAAGCAGATGCAATTTGAAAAATTAAATATTGTAGAATTTATTCTTTCAAAAGTTATAAGCGTAAATAATATGACATAAATGAACTAGGAGGAAAGAGAGAACAATATCGCCAAAACTTCGATTACTACATTTCAGCACTAAAAATTTTAAAAAAATAATTAAAACTGAATAATTCAATATTTCCATGACTTTATGGTAAAGTTGTGTTCTTATGTGCTCTTAGTTACTTACATTTACTGGCAAGATAGTTATAAAGTATAAATTTTGATTTTATAATGAATAAAATAGAATAATCCGTATTACTATGAATTTTAAGAAAAATAACAGCATTCTAAAAGTTCATTTATGTTCTTAATAAAATAATCGCAATTCCAAAAAGTGATAACAAGAAGAATTGAATTGAAGAAACGGAAGACCGTTTTTCCCCTTAATTCTCCCTCCAGTCACTTGGTTTCATTCTAAGGACAAAAATTATCGCGATGTGTGCGCCATCTATTTATTTACATGCACATGCATATTTCTTTTCACACCGAATTTGAGCATATCATAGCTTTCCATCTGACTCTATTTGTGGCCTGATATTTTGCCTCTTTCCATGTCTTTTCCATTGTTTTCAATTCGTTTACAATCTTCCTACGCCAAGTATATTTAGGTCTTCCTCTTTTTCCATTGCCCTGAGGGTTCCATTTATATATCATCTCTATTGTTATTGCATTCTTCGTCACAGCTGCTGTTTCAAAAAATGTTCGTCGTCTACACATCTCGTTTTTACTATTTAAAGACTATAAATAAAATACCGTAAAATTTTGTACAAATCTAGAATAACTATCAAGAATCATTTTGGTATCAAAATCAGTTATCAGCTTTTGAGTCATTTTATGTCAAAACTAGAAGATTTGTTTGCCCTACGTGATTTCGCATAAAAAAAATTGGGAGTAGTATTTTTATTGCGGTAACATTGCTTGAATTTATAAATTATTTTACAGTGATTAAATATTTTGATGTATAAGAATTCGTAGGCAAAACTAATCGCAGTAAAATTAAATTAAATGCTGCTACCAACAACATGTTAGGCAAACAGATACTGTCACTCTGCTTTATTAGAATTAGGATTAGAGTTTAGAGAAATTAGGACGAACAAAACTGGTTACAATGTAGTAATAAAATCATTTTGAACAATATTAGCAAAATTTATGACAGCAAAACCATTTTAAACAATAGTAGCAACGATATGATAGTGAAACTACATAAAACAAATCAAAGTCACTTCACGTCACTGATTTTTCTCATGAGGTTAAGGTAGTGATATTTTTTTTAAAGATTTTACTGGAATTAATATTTATTTTATTTTAAAGGAAATTTAAAATATGTATGAAGGAAAGAGAAAGCCCATAGAATCCACTGAAACTCATCAGGATTCATTTTTTCTCTCTGGCAATTACGAAATAATTTCGGAGCGAGGTTGCTTTCAGTTAAATCGTAGGTTTGCCTCATCATTGCCTGACACAATTTGTTAATTTATTTAAAATGAGATCAATGATAGTAATTGTGATGGAATGGCAATGCAATGTTTTAAATATAAAGTCAATTATTTTATAAAAACTATAACGTTGTTTAAAATAAATGCATTTCATATGGAATTTTTTTCGAATATTAAAATATATTAAAAATAATTGTACATACAATTATTATTCCTTACATAAAATTTCTTTTAGTTTTTAATATAAAAAATAACTAACTAAAGGTTATTAGAAAATTTTCGTGTATATATATATATA